TATGCTCAAGGCTGCTTTTTTTGGTGAAGTTCCAAGCATTTTTTAACAACATTTTTTTAAATGGAGAACGGTAGTTATAAAACGTGAGCTGAAAAATGGACTTAAGACTTGAATCCTTCTTCCCAATTTAAGATTTTTTACTCATACTTAGATAAAGAGTAATTTATGCAAACCCTTCAAGAAATTATTTTACTATATCAAACAGTGCTCTTGCTGGAATTTAAGAAATAACCAGCTCAAACATTTAGTAACCTTGCATGATATTAACTGTAAATGATGATTTTATTGAGTTTGTTTTTTTCAAAAACTATATATTGCTGCCAACTTACACCAAAGTATTTCTTGTTTTTACCATGAACAGTTGTATATATCCTACAGACGGATGGCAACTTTCAGCAGTAACATAATTTCGCCTATCTTTCCTTGTCTATGATTCCCACAAGCCAGTTTATCTCACAGAACTCCCTTTAAATTGTGACAAAGAAATTTCCCTTAAAAGTGATGGTATAGAATAGTCCCCTGTTATTTTTCATGTTATTTATATAATTTCCCTGGTAGCACACTGTGCTATTACATGCTATAAATCATATTTTATTTTGGAAAGAACTGCTGGGGGTGTTATTTTTAGATCCAACTCTACTTCTGCTGATATCAACCCAGCTAAGAAAATAGCTGTAGGAACATTTAAATCTCACATACAGTTTTGGGATGATATCCATATTATGAATGATGTGGGAACAGCAGTACTATAGGAGTAAATAGATATACCACTGAGTAAAGAGAATGTGCCCTGAACATATGTGTAGCTGCACTTTTACACTACTGAGAAACGAGAAAGTGGCTTTACTTTTTCTGTGGCCTTTTTCTGGCCAACTAAATTGCCACAGCTTGCATTTCCATGACATTTTGACCTAGGTGCAGCCAAACCCATTGGAAAGCACAGTATCTGATCCCAACAGGGTTTCAAAGGTATGTTACATCACACAGAAGCCTGTAACTTCTATTTCTTTTTTCTCAAAGACCAAGAGTATACTTTTCTTTTACAGAATTGTTATTATATAACCTAAAGTTGAATGCAGAAATGGGAAATTTAACCTTAGAAAAACTGCCTGTCTTCTTTGCTTCACGCTTTGAAGTGGTCATAACTGAGCAGTTAAAAATGGACCAGTAGCAAACACAAGAACTGATCAACTATTTTTCCCAGGGTACTGAGTCATTTGGACGGTAAATAAGGGCTGTAGGATCAATGAGGCAGCAGTGTGACAGCTGGTGTGCACTTTCACATCTTAGGGCCCCACCCTGCTCTCTCTGATACCCGCATAAATCAGGAGGAGCTTAAGTAAATTAGAAGCACCCACCGAAGTGGTGTGGAGTCAGAACGAAGCACCAAGTGTTCCAATCTGTGCCACTCAGTATTCCATATCTGACTTAAGAGATTGGCTCCCTTTCAGAGCTCTACATTAGACATATTGCCTTCTTGTTTTAAAATATGTATGTTTAATATTTAATTTAACAGAATTCCATATTTCAGTCTCAGTGTACTGTGCAAGTCCCTTTGAGGCTCGTGGTTTGTATGTGCAGTTGCAATTCTCCTCAAGTGTAATTTGGAAGCACCATTGCCTAATGGGGTGAAAGGAAATATCTGCCTCCAATTAATCTTGGCTCTCTTTTGAGTGAGAAATGAAAGTATTGCCCAGCCAGTGATGATTTGAGAAGTGGGCTGCAGGAGTTGAACCAGGCTATCCAAAACTCCTTTAACGTATTATGTGTGATAGTGGAATACTAGTAGAGGTCTCACCAATTGTCCACACGCTTCAAGTCCACACAGGTAATTTGGACAACCAGCTTCAAATGACAACACACTCAAAAATTTTGCCAACTCTGAAATATTGGTTATAATGCTACACATATAACTGTTATTGCACATCAGACTGTGTAGGTATCATAAAATAGGTACAGTTAAAGTAAACTGATCCTGTGCTTATATTTTCACAGAGATATAAAAATTATGTCACGCTGTAAAATATTGCATAATACTTGCTGAGACGAGAGACAGATCAATAATATGCAAAAAACTAATTTCACAGTTTAAAAAAATGCTCACAGATTTTGAACTTCTGGTCTGTTGGGACAAACCATAGAAAGTGTGAAGTTACCTCAGGCCAACGATGGCAGAATGAAAATAGCAGTTTAAATGGTACCTGGGTGACCATCCTAGCTCTCTTGCAGGAGAGACTATTTTCAAGACCATTTGGCACACCTAGAATGTGGGATAGCTCTCTAAAGTAAAGAATATAAACATTAAAAGGTCGGAAATAAAACAGCTATCCATTGAAACTGGCAATGGGAATCTTCGCCATTTGGCTCTGAACCACTTTGCCACTCTGCATTCTAATGCCAATTACGTGTCCCACACTGATATTTGACTTTCAATTTTCATAGAATTACTGAAAGTGTTGAAGGAGTTAATGGAGGCATAGTACTTTCTTCAGAGAAAATATGAAATTAGATTAGAAATCAGATTGCCTTGAAAACACTACATGCAGCAAAATGTGCACCCAGAAAGCCTTCAGGAGTAATCATCTAACCATGGTTTCTTGTGACTTGTGTTTTACTGTTCCACGACACAGAAAAATAAAAAGAAAAACCAAAGATCTGTGGTGAGATTCTGTTGTCTCCAAGAGTCCCAGTTCAACACCTCATAACCCAGGAGATGTGAAATTGTTTCAAACCGTTCTCCACCCTCACAATCACCGGCTGCAGCAGGGGGCTGTAAAATTCCCCTGGAATGACCCCAAGGGTGTCAGTGGCTCCATGGTAGCTCAGCAGATGTGCTGCAGCTTTCCCCTTACATGTTATCCTGTTCCAGCCCTGCCCAGCAGGAGGACTCCAGAGTTTGTCCTCAGACGGCATCTTTAAACTCCCTCTCACCATGTGCTGCCAGGGGTACGGTCCCTTGGCCAGGAATAGAGCTTCTGAGGGCCTCTTTATGCCAATCTGATTCCTCTTATCTTACATAAGGGGCCAGAGCAGGGACAGAGCTCACTTTCTGAGCTCTAAATCTCTCCTATATGGCACGCAATTCTCCAAAGTACAGCCAGCTTCTGCTTTTATGGAGCACTGTGCAGTGAAGAATGAAGGATCCTGTTTTTCACCATTTAAAGATGTATGATAGCAACAAAGCTCTATGTTAAAATATTTAACTCGAGGAGAACTTATGGAAATTGTCTATTCAAGCTCAGCAAAGACATTAAATTACCAAGCTGTTCTAGGACAGTTGTGTGTGGAGAAAAGCCAGAAATGCTCTGAGATTGTAACGTTACTCACAAAGATTCCAGCCTGAGCCTGATTCAGAAGCTTTCCATACAGATCAGGTATGGTGAGCTGTAAAATGTTACCATATCAATTCCTGCAAAACATACTCTGTGTCTACATGTAGATGTAAAATCAGGACATACACAGTACATTTCCTGCCATATTTTGAGTGGTATCTGTTTGTTTGGTTTGCTGAAATATGAAAAATAATATTTCGCAACTACTGGAAACACAACGCTGACAAGATTTAAGAGTATAGCTCTGGCTGCCAAAATGCAGATAACAGACAAATCCTTCTATCTCAGTGTTTTAATCAGTCAGATCAGGGCGTTGATGAATATGCAAATTTGACTGTTTATACACTCTTTTCAGAGTGAAAGGAAACAAATTCAGTTTCACTATAGAATTAATGACAGCTCTGTCCTCTAAGATTAATAATTAAAACTCTACACATTAAGATGACAGTGCTCTTTCCTCCCAGCCTCTGCAGATTTTACTTTTTTATTTTTTTAATACCCCTTTCCCTTATAATTGTTTGTTCCCCTAATTGGAATGATTAATTATTAATACCAGTTCATGGATATGCAATAGTCACCTTTAGAACAAGAATTGTACTTTAACTATAAAAAGGGTTAAAAAACATCTTCTTTTGTTAATTCTGTTTTCACTCTTTTCTGTAAGTTAATTTTTTCCTCCAAGTTTTATGCCACCATAGGGATCTCAATGGCCTGCTTTAATGCTGGAAGCCTTTTATTTATTTCAGTGCAGGGTATACATATGATTTCATTTTGATTTTCACAATCTATGCTGGGTTTCTTCTTAAGAAGAAACTGCTGCTGGGATCAGCAGCCTTCACAGGAATCACAGCTTTCTGTTTCTGAAGCACACACTGAAAGTTTAGACCAAATCAAACCTCAGAGAACAGATTAAGAATGTGGTACAAGTGCACTATAAAGTCTGAGAAAGCAGAAGTTTAAAAAACCAACAAGATTTGAGCTATTATTTTTTTAATCTGATGATTTCTGGGTTGACATGGGAGTGGCTGAGTCATGCTTGCCAAATCCTCTGGACAGCCAATATTTCAGAGAAAGATTATAGCAAAGTGAACAGAAGTTCAGCCTTCCCATCAACCCTTCTTCCTGCCCCAGAAGAACTACGACACTCAATTTTTGTGTGGCCACTAGGATCTACACAGACACCACTAAAACCCCCTTCTAATATCACATCACCAAAGCAGGCATTTTTAAGAGTAAATAAAATAGGTGGTTTGTGTATGTTTTGCATTATTTTATCAAGAAAAGTTATCTTCTAGTTTAAAAAACCCATTTTTTTCTGAACAGAAAAACCTCTTCCAGAAAGACAAATGGTCAGACTACTCTAAAAATCACATTTCCTCAATAGAGCTGTTTCAGTTTCATCTTTTAATGTCTTTAGAGGTGAATTGATCCTACGTGGGAATTTAGCATGGCCTCGCGCATCGCCAAGGAAATACTTTATGTGAAATTAAATTAGCATTTGTCTATATTTCACCGAGCAGGTACACTTCCTCCTGTGTCACTGATACCAGCAAAACAAATATGTGCGTGTGAGCGTCTGAGCAGGGGTGATGAATTATATTCTGTAGGCATTTAAGGGCAGACATTCATAACGAAGCCTGCTGGCTGGCGAGCGGGGCTGGTACTTACCACGCTGAGTCCCAGCAATTCCCTGCAGAAATAGTCCATGTTCCTCCTCTGGAGGGTGTCGAGGTAGTGCTGGAGGCGAGTGTAGGTGTAGGGGTAGCAGTAAGCAAACTGGTAAGTGTCGTCCTCTCGGTCAAAGCAGAAAGCAAAAGACATGACATAGTTCTTCCTGTGGTCTGGGCAGCGGTAGTAGTACACGTTTTTAGAGGGTATTCTTTGCCTAAAAAAACAAAAAGAGGTAAGTGTATTTATTTCTTGACACATATATATGTTGGCATAAGAAATCTGAACAAAAAGGCTACGTGAGGTTCAAATTTCTTCTAAAGGAAATGAAGTGGAGGGGCTTGAACAGCTCAGGAGCTGGGGAGCAGGGCCCGGAGCCTGTGTTTGGGAGCAGTGCAGACAACTGCCATGGCAGAGCCCAGGCACGGCACAGCTGCTGGGACTGCTGCTCTCTCCAGGTGCCCAAGCTGGCAGAGTCACCACAGCAGGGCAGAGCATCATATAACCAGGAAAACCCACTCCCATAAAGTGAAAAGGATGCACAGGCTGTTCAAGTATCCTCTACTTTGCTATCGAGCTTGTGCAACTTCACAGCACTACACAGGCTCCAGACAAACCTCTGTCTGCAGTGTGGTACATCCTTTGTTACAGGGCTGACTCACCAGCACAGAGAGGAGGCATAACTGATGAAGGAATGTCAGTAAAAGGCACCATTGACAGAACTGAATTACTGAAATTCAGGACATCTCTATGACTTTTTTTTGTACTTAACAGTCAGGGCATACATATCAACACCTATGCAATGAATGGGAGAAAAGATAAACTCTCGAGGTTAAAAAACCCAAACCAACCAATCAAACAACAACAAAAAAAATCAAACAAAAAATTTCAGGTATGGAAAATAACCAGGCCCTAAATTAGAAAGCAAAGAAGAAAAGGGTATTTGGTCCCATTCCAACTTGGACAGTTCTAGTTTATCTGACAAGATAGAAATGAATATACATGATGGTAAATAATGATAATAAAGACATTTATGTCATTGTTATCAAGCTGGTATCTGTTTAAGGAATAACAAATATCTGCCTGCCATCTCTCACCCAACTCCAATTATTCTGTTATTTTTCAGCAGAAATTAGTACTATTTCAGAGGGGGAACAAAAACTTGTTCTATGGATGAGAGACATTCACTATTTCTGTTTTTATGCTTTCTTCATTTCTTAGATGGAGTTTCTAACTTTATTTAGACAGGATAGTCTCCAATCACGCCATGCACTTGTAATTTGATGTAACTAACTTACCAGTCATGTTTGGCAACAAAAAACTATGATCCTGCAGACTCTATCTGATTCAATTACACAGCATTATAAACAGGTCTCATCTGATGATTGGAGCAGATCTCAGCTAAGCTCGGATCACGGTGAGGGGAAAACATAACAAGATTTACAGACATAGCACGAGTAATGTGCTGCTTTGTAATAGTTCCGAGAAGCTGGTCTGCTGCAGAACATCAGTTTTGGCCTCTCATTGTTAATATGAATTAGAGGACAAAACCCTCTCATTATATAGAAGTACATGTTTGCCAATTAGCAGCAGTTAAGGGCTCTGATCAGCGAGACTCAGGATCTACAAAGAGAAACGGAGAGGAATTGAGATCTTCCTGAGAAAGTACAATAAAGAACCAGCGATGCAGTTAATTAGACTCGAAATAAGAATTTATTTGCCCCTTTTAATGCCCTGCCTCTTGAACACTCAGGGCTTCAATAATTTACTTCAGCATCATGACTGAACATGAGCCAGCAGTGTGCCCAGGTGGCCAAGAAGGCCAATGACATCCTGGCTTGTCCCAGCAATAGTGTGGCCAGCAGGGCCAGGGCAGAGATCGTCCCCCCGCCCTCAGCACTGGGGAGGCCACATCTCAGACCACATGTTCAGTGTCGGGCTCCTCACTTCAAGAAAGACATTGAGGTGCTGGAGCTGGTCCAGAAAAAGGCAACGGAGCTGGTGAAGGGTCTGGAGATATTTAAAGGATGTGTAGATGTGGCACTTGGGAACACGGTTTAGGGGTGGAATTGGCAGTGCTGGGTTAATGGTTGGACTCAATGAGATTAAAGGACTTTTCCAACCTATCGAAATCTGTGATTTGATGATTGGGTTTTTTTCTTAAAAAAGACATTTGCTTATCACTAAGATCTGAAACTAATATTTAAGCCACAAATCTAAAGCACAGAAAAACAAATCTTTTATTTTTTTAAAGAATTAGCAGTAGGGAAAAAACACCACCAGCCATCTGCATGCAGAACCCAAACCTAATAGGTTTCTCCAGTATCTTAACATATTTCTATCATTCACCCTTACTCTGGAGTGCTATAGGACATCCCTCATTTGATCTCAAATCAAGCAGATGATATGGCAGTGGGTAAATGTATTCTAGCTCCCAGTCCTCAAACCATAATGCAAGTTTAAACAGTATGTTGCTGAGTTGTTGAACTTTATTTGTTTCCACATTAGCATGGGAGAAATAATAAAGGACAAGCCTCACTTTATGCTATAAAAATTTCATGTAAAATGAGACCAATAGGAGGAAATTCGGGATTTTAGAAAGGCTAATGCTAATTGAAATTCATCTGCTGATAGTTAATGTTTAAATGACACATAGTTCTCCTTGGTTCAATAACTTCCTACTTTTAAGCAAGTTGAAGACAACTTTGTTAATGTATTAAAGGCACTTTTGATATTCCATTCCCTTTCCCCTTCATTATAAACGCTAAGCATCTGTTTTATTATCCACTTTGACACATCACTTTATGGCTGCATTTGGCTATTATGGCTAATCTTGATGTCTAGGACATCTGGTATTGACATTTCACTATCTGGTGTCTGACACAACAGCAGAAACCATCCTCAGTTCCCAGGTTTAAATTCACCCTCTCAGGGCAAAAAGTGCCCAAACTCTTAATTCAAACCATATCTTCCAAAAATAATTATAATAGTACTCCTGTCACTGCTAATCTATTTTTATCTCTCCTAGCACTTTGTCACTGCTAATCTATTTGTGAGTCATATAGAGAAAGAGAGTTAGCGTTTAGATACCAACAACACATCTTTACACACAGGAGCCTAATCAGATTGAGATCTTATCAGGGAATTAAAGCAGAAAAGAAAAAAGGGGAAGGAAAAGAAAGAAAAGAGACACAGTGCTAGATATCACCAACTGAGTTTTTGATAACGAAAAGACATTGCTCAGTTCTTGAATTAACCTTTGTGTCCTAGACGCACTATTGTTTACTCTTTCCCTTTTTTGTTCTATGCCTTCTGGAAAAGGACACCCACACACTGTGGCAGCAGCTGCTCCTATTAATTTAAAGCTATTACAAAAATTAAAATTAAACCCAATTACTTTGGCTGGTTTATAGCTGGGGAACGGCTTAGTCTGATTGTTCCCTCTGGTTATGGACAAAAACAATATTCCTACCTACAGGCAGCTGCCAGTGGAATACTAATGCATCTAGGGCCTGGCAGGAACAGATTCCAAATGCAGAGTCTAACTGCATTTCTTACTAGAGAAAAATATCTTATCATGGATCTGCAGAAATGCACCAACTTCTGACACTGTAAGTCACAATGAAGCCGATTTGTAGTTAGAGGCAGGAAAGGAAAATGATGGTAGAAACCTCGATGCCCAGATTTGTCCCTTTGCATTTACAGGCAGCTCCCACTAAGCAATGCACCCTGCTAATTGATACACAACTGCCTGGATCTCCACGCTGCTGAATGGTTGTTTAAAGGAGAACCACCCCAATTCTGAGAACAGCCACACAAACAATGTGCCAGCAACTAATCCCCAGTCTGTATTGGAAATGCATTTGAAGAACTGAAGCTTGATATTTTACCACACTTTGAGACAAATTCAGACTGCTTAGTCCTAAAGGTAAATGCAAACCCTCTTGTTCAAAGGAAAAAGGAAGCACAGAAATGAAGAGTTGCTCTCTATTTTGACTCTCACAGTCCAGTGCCAGTCAAAGGTTTGAGCCAGTGGATTTGAGTGTCTTCTCCTCCTTCCTGCCCAACCCAGCAGATTTGTTACTCCAGGTGAGAATGTCCATGTGCCTGTTCCTGTCTGTTTGCTACGGTGCGGTCTGGAGTGAGGACATTTGCTCTCTTTGGTAGTGTGCCATAAGATCCAATTTTTCAGAGTACAAAAAATAAAAATTAAAATCGTAGTCCTCATCCAGTATCAAAAATCTGATGACTTCGGAGGCCCCAGGATTTTACTCCTTGCTACTGCAAGGTGAGGGGTGTAACTTAGCATTGAAAACTTTATCCTAACTATATTTCTAATTTGAACATAATTTTCACTTCAACTCTAAGAATTTTGACCTTGAAGGTAAATTTTATTATCTTTTCTGTTTTGTTTTTTTTTTTTCTCTCTCTTCTACCTTACTTCCCTTTGAAAACTGGAAGTTAATCAAGACTTTGAAGGACCAACACAGGGGGATGATGGGAGTGCTGCTTTGTGGCATCTGTTTTTTAAGTTTTAAACACATAAGGGTGCTAATCAAATCCTTTTGTGGTACCACAGCACAAATAATTACAAAATAACTATTTTTAGAGTGCTTTCCCCCCCATTGCATGACCAAAACAGGGAGCTCTGGCCCAGCCAAATTCCCAATGGCTTTAATGAGCAGCATAAATAGTCTTTGGATCACCTTTAATATGACACTCCCACAGTCACTAAACTTCAAAGGAAAATGATGATCTTTGGAGAAAAAAACAAAAAGCTGCAGGTGCTGTAAAGGATCAATGGCCAAAGGAAAAATGAAGTGATCTGAGTTGCAGAGGAATGCTCCAGTGAAGCTGGTTGGGATGTTTGTTGGCTGTGGTGACACACTGTGGTGATCATTTTCAATTGCCATCAATGCAGGGATACTACTTAACAAATCCACAAATTCCCAAGCTTGCACATAGAATTCAAAGGGGTGGGCCTGAGTCACAACCTCAGATGAAACCAAGCCTAAAGACCCAAAACCTGATCCCAATTCAACTTTACAAAATAACCTTCAGGTACTTATTGACGTTACCCTGAACACGAGACTTGGTGACCCTTCTGCAGTGTTCAGATTTAACTCCTAAAGCTGGATATCCCTAGTTATCAACTGCAAGAAATCCAACACACTCTGGACAAAATATAAGGATGTAAATCATGTGCTGCAAACTCCT